CCGAGAGGGGCATCCGGCCCCGGAAAGGTTGGTTCCGCTCCTTTCCCCAGAAAACCGCCTCGTTAGCTCGGCAGGAGTTCTCTGCATTTCCCTTAAGGCTCTTCCAGGGCCTGGAGAAAGCAGCCAGGGCGTGTTCGCAGTTGTCAAAATATATGGTACCGGTACCGGTTTTCCCCGAGATGGCTGGGATTTAAGAAAAAGAAAAAAAAGGAGTTTAGATAGTGGTATTTTAATGCCAAAGTAGCTGTAGCATAGTTGATTTCCCTTTTCTTTACCTTGCATACCCTCCTGTGGCTTTTTCTCCTTGCTCAGCCTGTCTTTAAGTGCTCCCTCTGTCGTGTTTGTGAATGGATCGACCCATTGCAAAACAGTGAATTACACTCTGTAAGTAAAAAGCATCAAAACAATTAAGTACTTTCTACAAGCCGTACAGAAATGAGAAAGGTTCATGGAAGAATTGTTCGGGATTTGAAATCCTGGGGCATTGTCCCGTCTGATGGTTTGTCCAGTGCATCTCCAGACCAGTTGGCGGATGTGAACTCGGGAGCGCTGTGCCCTCCTGTCACCGTGCTGCAGCTGCTGCAGGCGAGGAGCAGAGCCCTTCCTTCTGGTTCTGTGTATCTGTGAGGGTAACAAGGATGTTTTAAAGAGGAAGGTGTCCTGCGGTGATGCCCTGTCATTCTCATGCTGTGATCACCTGCGGTGGGTGACCCACTAAAACATCAGCTGGTTTATCAATAGTTATGCTTCACTGGTAGTTGTGTTCTTGTCTGAAGTACAGTGCGTACAAATCTCCTGCACTGAACTTTTATCCTGTTTTGGGTGGGGGTTAAGAGTTATCTGGTTTGTCTGTGTTACTTTTAAGACAGAATTACAGAAAATAAGGCAAAGTGCTCAGCCTGTCTTACCTAGCCTGGGCAGCTTAGCACTGTTTTTGCTGGTGAGAGGTTCAAGTTGTTCTCAAAAGAACTTGTAGTTACGGAGGTGTCAGTGCCCTTGTTTTATGGTTATAGATGAAAAAGTTTTCCTAAATCTTCTCACGTGCTACTCCTAGTATTTCTGTTGGATGCAGTAAAAGTGGTATTAAACCGTTGTTATGGTGAGTGGAAGAAGGGAAACATTGCACCTATTTTTATAAAGGGTAGAAGGGAAGACTCTAGGAACTTCCGACCTATCGGCCTCACCTCTGTGCCTGGGAAGATCATGGAACAGATCCTCCTAGAGGCTCTGCTAAGGCAGAGCCAGCCCGGCTTCACCAAGGGCAAGTCCTGCCTGACCAACCTCATGGCTTCCTACAGTGGCGTGACTGCATCAGTGGACAGGGGAAGAGCAGGGGATGTCATCTGTCTGGACTTCTGTGAGGCCTTTGACACAGACGCCCCCCACAACATCCTTCTGTCTGAGTTGGAGCCATACAGATCTGATGGCTGGACAGTTTGGTGGATGAGGAGTTGGCTGGATGGTCACACCCAGAGGGTGGTGGTCAATGGCTTGATGCCCAGATGGAGATGGGTGACAAGTGGTGTCCCTCACAGGTCTGTACTGGGACCAGTGTTCTTTAATACCTTCACCAATGACCTGGACAGTGGGATCGAGGGCACCCTCAGGAAGTTTGCCAATTACACTGAGCTGTGTGGGGCACATGCTGGAGTGAAGGGATGTCACTAATAGGGACCTGGATGAGCTGAGGGGTGGGATCATGTGAACCTCATGAAGTTCAACAAGGCCAAGTGCAAAGTCCCACACCTGGGTTGGGGCAATCCCAAGCACAAACAGGCTGAGGGACGAAGGGATTGAGAGCAGCCCTGAGAAGAAAGACAGGGGTGCTGGTGGATGAAAAACTGAACATGAGGCAACAATGTGCACTCACAGCCCAGAAGGCTACTGTGTCCTGGGCTGCATCAAAAGATGCGTGGCCAGCAGGTCAAGGGAGGGGGTTCTGCCTCCTGCTCCACTCTAGTGAGACCCCCACCTGCAGTTCTGTGTCCAGCTCTGGGGCCCCCAAAATCAGAAGGACATGGACCTCCTGGAGCGAGTCCAGAGGCCATGAAGATGTGGGGGGGGCTGGAGCACCTCACCTGGGAGAACAGGCTGAGAGGGTTTGGTTGTTCAGGCTGGAGAAGAGAAGAGAAGGCTCTGGGGAGACCTTATAGCGGCCTCCTAGTGCTTAAAGGGGGCTACAGGAAAGCTGGGGAGGGACTGCTGACAGAGGCATGTAGGGATGGGATGAGGGGTAACAGTTTCAGACTGTAAGGTAGTAGGTTTAGATTAGATATTAGGAAGAAATTCTCTGTGAAAGTAGTGAAACACTGGCCTGGAGAGATGGTCGATGTCCCATCCCTGGAAACATTCAGGATAAGCTTGATGGGACTCTGGTTAAAGATGACCCTGCTCACTGCAGGGGGTTGGATTAGGTGACTTGTAGAAGTCCCTTCTAACCCAAACCATCCTATGTTTCTATTTTTTATAAAAACTGAAAGCTTTTGAAGTTTCCTTTTCTCTTTAACGACAGATTCGTAAAAGGTGTATTTTTGCCCTTCCATCAACACATCACAAATTGATAGTGACTTTTGATCGAATATCAAAAGGGATTAGTATTGATGCCAGTTGTTAAAATACCACTGCTACTATAAGACAAATCCTGTTTGCAGGTGCCTCCAAGCTCCTGTGATTCCTGTGGGCTGAGTTGCATCCAGACGTGCCTACACACACCTGAGGGTGTTTCTCATGTACAGCCGAGGAACAGAACAGCCACTCTCTGCTGAAAAGAGAAAGGTTGCATTGCTCATCTGTCTTGGGGAAGCAAAGAAAACTTCTCATTGCATAGTGCAGTTTAGTATCTTACAAAGTCTGTGCTTTGCTTCCCTAGCCCCCCATATGAAAAAGGTTTTCTTCCACAAGTATAAAGGTGTATTTTTATTTATTTGTTATTTTTATTTTCCAGAATTCCTTATCGCCGAGATTCCCGAGAACCAAACCACGAAAGCACTACCCATAGACTCTCTTGTATCGCAGTCCCCACGGAAGTTCTTCCTGCGTGCTAAGCAGAAACTGAAGCAGCAGCAAAAAGGTACTTGGTATTGCTCTTAAAATCACTTCCAAAATGTTCTTGACTTCAGGGTTTCTCTTCTCACTTATGATCTGTCGTGTGCTTTGGCAGAGTATCGTTTGGCAGAGTATCATTCTTTGTAGTCTGCGTGCAGTGGAGCGTAGAGGAAGAAGCTCACAAATCTGCCTTTTCTAACCCAGAGATGGCATTAGATTTTATTTAACTATGGATAGGGCTGTCGGCTCCTGACCTTTCAGCTTGATATCGTTTGAGTGCACCATCTCCTCTGACAAGAAAAGCCACCAACCTTCAGGCTCCTTATGGGGTTAATTTCTTTAGAGACTAGGTGTAGCATGAAACTTGGTGGAAAAAATCCTAAACCTCTTATTTGTTGTGTGTTTTTGGGATTGTTTTCTTTCCCTTGTTTGTGAACAATTCTATTTGCTTTTTATATGTTGTTACTTGATAGCAACCCTGTATATGCTTCTGTCCTGTAACTCAGTTTTGAAAATGCAGATCAAAAAAATGAGGAATGCCAAAGTCTTAGTAGTGTTCAGCATCAAAATTGACCTTAATTTGTCTGCACACTCAAAGACTAGTACTTGTAGCTCCCATCAGAGCAGCAACATGGCTACAAGTCCAGATCTTGAAATCTGGAAAGATGAAAATATCTGAAATTTTGGTCTTTGAGATTTTTTTGCTGTACAAGGAGGATTCATTAAAGAAAAGCTGAGAAGAATGGTAAGGGTATACTATGAATAGATTTGGTGTGCGTTAGCTTGGTTTTTGGGAAAAATGGGATGTCTCTAAGCCTTTAACAGGAGGAGTATTGATCTGGTGGAGAGGAAATGCTAGTCTGAACAAATTCAAAGAACAAATTGCTGTTACTGTCAACAACTGAAGCAGGTAGTGCTGTCACAATTGTTGTAGTGCTCATGAACGCAACTTCCCCTTATTAAAAATGGAGCTAACTTTATTAACATATTTTTATGAGTTCTCAAATATCACTAATTTCTTCGTTATTCCCTTTATTTCAACAGCTTCAAGCCCAATCAAGCAGAACATTCCTCCTTCCACAACTACAGAAAAGCCATCAGTCAAATCTACTGTTTCTGAACAGCTCAGGGACGGTATTATAGAGTGTGTGGTCACGGATAAAGATAATCAGTATGATTTCATTGTGGAATCGGTGGATGCTGATGACGAAATGTCTCAAAGTCCAGTGACTAGTTCTGCAAATGTAAACTCGGCCCCTGAGCTTCATCAAGACAGAAGAGGGTTGCAGCCGAGTGGTACACAAGCTGCTCGTGGAGTAGGAAAGACAGTGGAGACTAAGTCTCAAGAGCTCCCACAGTGCTTATGTAGTATTCTGCTCTCTTCTCCCAAAATCCACATTCCTAGGAAGCAAAAGCCAAAAGAAGACTCTGAGGCCCCTTTGGATAAACCTCATACAGATGAAGTTGCTGGCAAAGCAGAGAAAGAGGTGGGAGAACTTAATACTTCAGGGCAACTGATTTCTCCTGTGGTTGCTTGTAGCTCATAGTTGTGATTGATTTATTTATTTATTTATTTTGTATTGGGAGCAGTGAGCACTCAGAACTGAGAATAAACGATCATTTTATTAGACCTTACTAGTAAACACTTTCCCATCCAAAGGGTGGGTTTTGTCCTGTACTCCAGAATGACAGTCTCTGGGGAGGGGGGTGTTGTTTGGTTTTTTTGTATAAAGGAAGGCTTTCAGGTTTAGTATTCACAAGCCACATTATGGGTTGGAGGAATCCTCTATTTGAAGGAGCCTCCTATGTCATCTCTTTAATATATTAATTGCCGTAGGTTGGTATGGTGGACCCGAAACAAATCACTGGCCAGTCCAGCTCCTGGCCAAAGCCAAGAAGGAGAGATCTTCCCTCGCTGTAGGCCAGGGATGGCTCTAACGTTAACTCATTCTGTACAGCTGGTGGGGAGGTAAAAGTCTCAGCTTTCTTACAGAATATTCAAACTTCTGTCAAAGGGAGACAAGAACCTGGTCCTAGGAGTCTCATCTGCAGGTTGTATTTTCTGTTCAATGTGTGCTTGTTCGTATTTACAACTTCCTGAGTAAATGGTGAGGAAAGCGGTGTATTTTGAAGCGTGCCGTGTCCCGCGGTGATTGCCCCAGGGAGCTGTTGGGAGCGTGCCTTCCCAAGGTCTGAGTTGCCTTCAGTCCACGGAGAAAGCCGTCGGATTGTAGTCCTCCTCACGTTAAACAAGTTCATTGTTTCATCCCCCCTTGCTGTTGTCAAGCATGTTTGATATGTTTCCCTGTATTAAAAAAAGTTACCTTTATTATGAGCTTTGATTTACACAAGGAACAGATACGCGTTAATATCAAAGCTTTGTAGCTAAGTAGAAGATGCTAAAAGAGCTGTTGTCGCTGGACACTGCGTCTGAGCCCCGAGTAGGTGCTGGCTGGACACGGCAAGTACCTTTCCCGAGTTGAGGTTAAATCCTTGGTAAGATCTTCTGTGAAGTCAAAGCTGATGGTCAGCAGGTGAACATTGTTAAAGAAAAGAGCTGAAGTGATGAGGAGGAGTAGTGGTAGATTCAGATGTTAAAAAAATCATTTTCCAAGAAGCTCTTGTGTTTTTCACACACGGTTTCCCAAACTGCAACTCCAGTGCAACTGGCTTGCCAGTTATTTCATGCAAAATGAAGGTACTGCAGCTGTGGCAGTAGTTTGCAATATCAGATTTTTTTATACTGTCTAGATTTTAGCAATAATGTAGCTAATGAATACAATTTTATTTTTCATTAATAATGGCTTTTATAAACAGCACCAGAGGACAGGTGTAAGGGGTATGGCAGAGTGTTGGTATTTTTCGTTAGGAACTTTGTGGATTTGCTAGAATTCTTGGCCAATGACTGTCTTCTGAAAGTCAACATCAAATTGCTCAATTTTCTATAATTTAAATGCTTGTGCATTAGACTGCAGCTTGATTATGCTTCACTATTTATGTGTATGATAGTTGTTTTCACTTCTGGTCTGGAGGATGGTGCCTAAATACCCTCTGAAGTTATATTTCTATTTTGCTGATGCTTTGGTGATGTTGCTTAGCTTGGTGTATTTTAAAAATGACTTTTCTTTTCATTTATTTAACAGAAAAATATCTGTCTAACAAGTTGGAGAATTAAAGTGATGGATGGTAACACTGCAATATGTGTCGAAGGAAAACGCAAGTAAGAAAAAGTTTTCTGATGTAAATGCATCCTGACCCCTGTGACAGCGCTTACGGCTCTTACCGTGTTTTTTAATAGTTATCTCTATTCTGGCTGAGCGCACCGATCCTGTTTGCGTCCCGGCTTTGCAGAGTGGCAGAGCTGGTGCCCAGGGGCAGGAGGGGCTGCCCGGCCGGAGGCCGAGGAGGGCTTGTGGAGAAGGAACTGTAGTTGTCCTGGTGGCCGTGGGAGCTACACCTTCGTGGACCTTACTCTGAGCCTTTGGTAGATACAAAGTGACGTTACAGTTTAAACTTCCCTGTGAAGGGAGAAGTGAATTCCTTTGTGTGTGCAAAAGGTAGAGCAGCTACATACAGGAGACTCCTGGTTAAAGAATTATTTTCAAGTCCAGTCCTGAACTGATCGAACAGCTTAGGAGGAATAAAGACAAATGCGTTTGTCTAGTAGATTCCCCAAGACTGGTGCTGACCAGGGGTCTTACAAGCTTCTGCTTCGTTTCATAAAAATTCTATTTTGTGGCTGCTTTAAGCCAATCTTGGTGCAGACTGTTATCAGCTGTATGTCCCTGCCGTGTCACAGGTGATGGCACTGTGCCTCCCACAGCTCATCCACCTGAAAACTGACTCTGTGGGGTTTTTTGGTTATGTTTTTGGTCAGATCGTATTCAAACAGCTAAAAGATCAGGAAGTGTCAGAACACTAAAGCTATTTGACGACATTGTGAAAATACGCCCTTGGAGAAGAGTATTCTACTCTTTTGTAGATAGTAACTACCTAACACAGTTACTTATCTACTGAAAAGTCAGAACCTCGCTCAGCAGTTGCAGTGGAAAGGAAGGAGTTTGGTAAGCTCAGCGAGCAATGTCGGGAGGCCACAGGTTCTGTAGTGGGATTTGTAGTAGGAACTGACATTAGTTTCCATGCCTGTGCCTCTCACTTTGTACCCTTCCTTACCAGCCACACGTTCTCTTGCCATTGGTGTTGGCACGTATCCAATCCGCGGTGGTTCCACATGATCTGTCTGGTTGCTTTACAGCTCTCTGAATTGACCTCTGAATGTTTTGTGACAAGTTATACAGTTGAATGTTTTCACTGTTGTTCTGGGTTTCAGCCCTTAATAATGTTCTGTAGTTTGGTCTGTTGGTTACTGTTGTAAAAGTAAACTTTAAAACATAAAAAAAAATTTTAAAAAGCCAAAATGAAACCCCAAGACTTTGTAGATTTTCTACTTCAATGCTTGGGTCTGCTTTTTAAGTCTCATGGAGAAGTCCCTTAATTTCTTAACAACTCCAGTTTTTGCATGTATGAGGGCTCCTTTTTCAGTTTTCTGGTCTTTAAATAGACAGGTCAGAAGTAAATGTAGTAACCCTGGGGAAAGTATACATTTGACCTGCATAATGGTGCTTCAGTAACTTGCATAATGGTATCTCTGCAATAGTGAGCTGGATTGAGTCCTTCAGTCCATTTTGTTTCTGCAGCCTAATGTTAAGCTGATGTTGTGTGACTAACGTTTGCAGCAGCTGACATGTTCATTTTGCCTCTCTTCCAAGTATTAGACAAGGTCAGAACTGTTCTTTCTTCCAAGAAAAAAGAATACTTAGGACATCCTGCCAGTGTCTATGTCGCTCATAAAATATGTAACGCTGCCAGTCCCAATATTCTAGTTTTAAATTCCTTCTTTTATGAACACAGTATTTCATTTCTGTTCTTCATGTTTTCTGTCTTTTCTTAGAGATAGGAAGGGTCTGCTTTGGCACAGCAATGTGATTACAGAACGCTTGGCAAGCGACCAAGTTAAAACGTTGTCTGGCAGCATCTATGTGCTACAGGGAACTATAGATTCAGCTTCGATGAGAAAAGAAGGTAAGGAGATGATTCTTAATGTAACGTTTCAAACTGAGAAGGGTTTTAGATTCATGATCAAACAGATTGCTGAAACAAACATTTTGCACTCTGCTCTTTGGGCTGAAGGGGTGTTCAGCACATGCTGGCAAGGGACTCCAGCATCAGATTTCTAAACACTATCGAAGATTAGTCGTAGCTGGTGGGTTTAGGGTGCTGCAGTTAGAGAGGGCTTTCAGAGTGTGTGGCTGGCTAACGGGGGTGTTCTTTTAAAGAAACTGGTTTTTGCTAAGATTGCTTTTCTTTAATTTTGATCAACGTTTTTGTCATTGAAACGGTGCTAAGACATTCAAATAGAGTTTGTTTATACACTGTTGAAATTACTCTGATGTTCACATTCTACCTGTGGCTTTATATTCAGTAATTAACAACTGGCTCTGCCACACTACATGGAATTTCTTTTTGGAGACAGACCAGTTCTGGTATCAGTGCTTTTTAATGTACTAAACTGATCCATCTTTAGGGTCTAAGTGGTTACCAAATCCAACAAAGCTTCCTGTTTCAGATTGTTTTGAAGCATGTGCAACTTTTAAGACAATTTAATTTACACACAAAGCTAAAGTTAGGCTAGACTTTATTCCACTCTTCTTGCTTCACATGCATCCTGTCATGCTCACTGGTAAATGTGCTGCCGTGTTAGTGCTTACAGGCAGCTCTGGGAACATAAAGATTATCTGTGGCACAGATGGAAAAAATACTTACCTTAATACAGACATGCCTTGTGTGCATGCTCATGCTCTTTTTAAAGGAGCATCTGTGCACTCTTTGCTCGCTCAGACCGAGCACAAGGCATCCAAAGATGTGTCTGTGGCTTTGATTTCTTCTTGTTTGCAGTACTGGGATGCATTCTGATAAATGCCTGACTTGGCTGCTCTCTGAGTTGATTTTTTTTATTAATCCCTTTGCTAAATGCTCACATCTGGTTTTATCTTAATATTATGAGAAGGACAAGCGGCAGCAAGAGACTTCTGAGCAGGGTGGCTCAGGTACCACAGAGGTTTCCTAAGCCTGAGAGTTAACAGATCGGGCTGGTTCAGTTCCTCTGATCTTCAGACTTAGCACTCGCAGCAAAACGTCGTTCCTTCTTGGCTGCCCCCTCGCCTGCCCTCCCAACACACAAAAAACCCTATCGTAAGTCCAGCGTGGAAAATACCCATAGCGGACTCAATACTGGTGTATGGATCCAAAGAGAAGTTAAAGAAAAGCTGATGCAGGTAGAGAGGAGAACTGCCAGTGGTGCTGGCGGCTGGCGGCAGTGGCACCAGAACTCGTGAATGAAGCTGCATCAGGACAGAACTACTCCCCTGTGGGAAACGTTTGGCTGGTGTGTACCGATACTCCGCGTGACTCTTGAAGCACTGGAAACACCTCCAATCTTTTCTTCAGTCCATGTAAAGAATGAACCAAAGGAAATGCTAGTCCTGTAGCGCTTCACAGGAGCTGAAAGGATGAAATAACTGGTGTGTGACACCTTCAGTACCTGTGGGCCTGAGAGGTGACTGGCACAAAGCTTTTTAAGAAAGCTGTTTCCCGAGTCCCTTGAAACAGGAATGTGGAGTCTGCTGTTCCCATGACATAAACCAAGGGAAGCTGTAGTAATGGGTGGGACTGGTGGCTGGGCAGGCAGTGAGGTGCGGGAGAAGGCATCTACGAAGTAGTGCCTCACAGGACTCCTGTGGTGGGGCCCCTTGGCTTGGGGCTGCTAGAAGAGCTCTTGGGAAGACAGTAAGAATGCCAAGCACTTGTGTGACAAAGAGGAGGAGCTTCTGTGGGTTTAAATAACAAACAAGAGGAATAAAAAGAATCCCATAATGATGGGGATGGTTGAGCAGATCCGTAAACTTTGGAGAAAAGAACGTGAGCTGGTAAGCAGCCGCTGTGGTCTGTCTGACATCACTAAGTTGTGTCAGGACGGTGAGGGTGAGCGAGTGCCAGCCACGAAGCATGTTGTAAGAGCTTCAGAGTGGGTGTTAAAATAATGAAATTTGGTCTTGATAAATGTAAAATGATGCCTGCGGTGGTAGGGGAAAGCATATTGTTACAGGTATCACAGAATTGTTTCATAGTTTGGTTTGGGAAGGACCTTTAAAGATCATCTGGTCCTACCCCTATGTGATAGTTCAAGATGATCCGTGACTGTAAGGCTCAGTTCACTGCAAAAGCTGAGGAACAAGGTGTGGGGTGTTTGGGAGATGGCTCTCTTCAGAGGACAGCTTACCGCTCACTGGCAGTTAAACAATCTGAGCAGTGAAAAGACTATTGGCTGTGAAACCTCTGATGCAGGAACATCTTGAAAACCGAGTACGGCTCCACATCTTTCCTTCCTCCTCCCCACAGAAACCCCAACAACTTACCCTCAAAAAGAAGGCAGAAGAAGTAGGAGGTGTGTGGAGGAGAATAACGTGTTTGAACTTAAAAAAATGGCTTTCACAGGGCAAAGGATTAACTAAGCTAAGAGTTTGGGGCCTGAAAAACAGGAAACCGGGGAGGAAGCATGGAAGAGGTTAATGAAATAACAACGGGGAGGGAGATGGTCAATAAAGATCAATTGTGTGTGGTCTCTTGCAGTAACAGAATAAAGGAAATACAAAACACCTTGTAGAGGGCAAATAAATCTTTTTCCTTGCTGTGTGCATCTCCTTTGTGGACATCCTTGCACAAGATCTTGCAGATGCTGAAGTTTTACGTGAGCCCCACTGGACACTGAGCAACTTCCTGGAAGACGATTTCCTTTAGGGATTTTAATTACATAGAAATCGGTGCCGATTTCTCCATTGGAGTTCAGGAGGTCACTTGGAGAGAATATTCCTGTATCGCTGCCGTGCTTCTGCTCTCTGCTTTGGCCTCTGCTGTTGGTATCCTTTCCCTGGCCGGGGCTAGCTGGGCCTTTGGTTGTACTCCAAACAAACTACCAAAAGAATGCCTTTCTTGTGTCCCAGCCTTGCTGGAGGAGCTCAGTTCCTGGAACTCTCTGTGCATGCTGACACTATCGGCCTTTCAGCTCCCAAGAATAACAGTTCATGGATGTGATTTCTTTTTTGTTGTAGTTTTATTTTATTCTTCCTCTTGATGGGAAGGTGCATGGCAGCATCCACGAGAGCGTCCAATGTTTTACCCAAAGGCTGGAGCTCAAGTGATGCTTCTTCTTCTCTGTTGCAGCAAAGGGTTACACTATACCTTTGCATCAACATGTTTTTAAGGTTGTTTTCCAGTTTCAAAGACAAAACCAGAGTTGTTCTCCTGTATCTATACTACCCAAAGAACTTCCCAGGTTATTGCTGCTACATACTTTGCACCTGATCCTGGTGCAGTGGTTCTCTGTTGAAGCCTCACGAGCAGTCTCTGTGCACTTGCTTCTGTAGCAAAGCAAATTAAAGTTTCCTTCCAACTGGAGTTGCCTCGATATCATCAGTCCCAAACACCTTAGGTTTAACTGGAACCCCAAATCCTCAGGCTCCCTGTGGGACTCGTGGCACTCTGCAGAGGCCACACACCAGCCCAGCGAGACGAACAGGGGAAAGCTCGTGCTCCTGGGCCCCAGAAACTGAGAGTGCTGTCTCCAGGGCCTGACTCCTGTAATTAATGACCCCCTTGGGTGACTTCTCTGCAGCCTGATATTCCCTTAAACCAGGGAAACCTGTGTCTCGTTAGTTTTAAAGATGTGCTGAGCTTCTGAGGTACTTACAGAGCTGTGATTGTGCTGGATATTATTTCTGCTCTTTCTGATTAGAAGTATTGCTCGGCTACTGCTAATGCCACTTTTGTTTCAAACAGGATTTCCCTACCGCTTCATCAAAAGATTTACATACGGGTTTTCCAAAAAGTGGAAGGAATACGTTGAGGAGTTTCTTGAGGACAGAAGAAGGTAATTCCTCTGGAGGTTCTGTTTCACTGCAGTGCTCTCTTAATTATTTATTGAGATTTTGCTTTTTAAGAATACCATACTAGAGATTGTGGATGTGTGCATGAAGCCCACATTCCAGGCAAACCTTGTCACTCCTTGGGAAGGATGCCCTTTTGCTGTTCTTTGTTAAACTGGTTTGGTTTTGCTCCGCTGATTTACGTTTCCTGGGAGTAAACAGAAGCAAAGGGCTTCCCCGGTTTAGTGGCTCGCACGGTGTCTGTGTGGGTTTTTCCCAGGACGAGGAGAAATGCAGGTTTTGTGTAAGCTAATGTGTTGTTAAAGGACAACTGCCTCAAGTGTTTATTATTTCTTTTCTTAAACTCCAAATCGTTAGGAAAGAAGAAAAACAAAATAGTGGTGAGGCTGAAGAGAGCGACTCGGTAGTGGGTACGGACGTGTTGAAAAATACAGAATATTCAGCAAGAGGTGTGAAGAAATCTGAAATCAGAAACACCACCTATGAAGTATCACCGAGGAACGATGAGGATGCTTGTGGGTATCTAATGGACCTTCAGAAAAAACAAGTTGTTTGTGGTTGGTTTGTTTTTTTTTTTCCGAGAGCTGCTTTCCCCAGCAAAAGGTATCGAATATCTGTGCAGTTCATATCTTGGTAATTAGGCTGTGTGGAAAAGGTAACAAACGAGTTGGTTGGGGGGGTTGTTGGTGCTGGACTGCAAGGATCAAGAGCATGGACTAGTTTCTATGGTTTTGGTTCCCTGATGCGCGACAGCACAAGAGTTGAGGGTGCCCTGAGGTGAGCCTGGGAGAGAAGCAGGAGGCTGCTGTGGAGTCAGAGCTGTTTATTCTGACAGCACGCTCCGCTTGATTGTTCCTCCAGAGGAAATGACCGTAAAGCCACAACCTCTAGTGATCAACCCAGGTGTAGGGGTTTTGCCTCATAATGCACTCCCAGCTTTGTGAGAGTTGTAATAGCTTTGGGTTTTAACTTTGACTTTTTTAATGTCCTGTCATAGCTTCTGACAAGGCTTTGGCCACACATCACTGTACTGTTTGTTAATGTTCTAATCAGATTTTCTTGCTAACACCATAAAAGCTGTTTTACGTTTTTCTCTCGTTACTTGGGATTTGTGTGATGTGACTTTTCTTTACTGTTCTGCTTCCCTATATGACTGTGACAGCATTTGTCTTCTAACCAAAGCAAAAAGGTGACACAGTAAATTTTACAACTTGTGAAGCATACTAAGGTATGCTTTTTGAAGAATGACATAGCATTGTAATAAGTTTATTATTTTCCAGGTAGTCGGTGCAGGTAAGCTGCTCTGAGCACTAATTCTGCTCCTGCGCTTGTGAAGTCTGCAGTGGTGAATCTTCAATACAGCGGTTGGGACAAAAATGCATTTCGTGTTTTCTCTCGTAGATACAACACCGAAGCACTGCTCCATAGAGAACGACTCGAGCAGAGTTTACACTCGTAGCGGCCGTCTCGTTAAACCACCACTAAGTTTCTGGTGTGGGCAGCGGGAGTTTGTTGATCAGAATCTAAACGTTACTATAGAAAAAGGTGGAACAGATTACCTGACCATGGTAAGGTTCTTCTGCGCGTTGTTACTTCAGCATATCTTAAATAAAATGAACGAGCTTGACTAGGGATCCCACAGAATAAGTACCTGAAGAGTCAGCACGTCTTGAAAACATTAAGACTATTTTTTTTGTTATGAAGTGGTTTTATAATCTCTGTATTACCAGATGGTTGGTTGTTGTTGCTAGTAAAATAGGGACAATGGGAAATTACTTCTGGAAAAGTAACTGGGGTGGGGTTGTTGTGAAAGAATGTGTTTGTGTTAACACCTGTGTCCCTTAAATGGTGTTCAGCAGACACCTGTTGATGGAGGTGACTGGTAAACCTACCAATCCTGTAAACGTTTTGGTTTTTTCGGAGCTGGCATCGGTAGGCTTGCTATGTAATCTCTTGCAGAAGTTTAGATTAAATTGTTTTATTTTGAAGATGTTTAGTAATGAAAAATCAAAAAAACCTGCCAGTTCCATTTCTAAGAAGAAAGGAAAGGAAGAAATGAAGACATCTGAAGAAGCACCAAAAACAGAGAGTAAAGGTAAAAAAAATATTCCTTTTTTTAAGTTATTGACTGGAATCAGTGGGATTATGAGTTGAGTGCCAGAGCAGCATGGTGATGTCCTGCTAATGCAGAGAAATTTTTTAAATCTTTTAATGATTGATTGCTGTTTCCATGAAAATCTATGAGACTAGCATTAATGCAGAGTTTTACAGCTCCAGATACAAACTAGCCTTGTAAATCACTTCCTTATTTACATAATGGGAAATTTCTCCTGGAAAGGAGGCAAACTTTCTCCTGGAAATTGAAGAGAAATGATTATGATTTTTATTATTTTTTTTAAGTTTCTGTACTTCAGCTCTCAGCACAGCTGTTATGTGTGACTTGGGAGAGCCTGAAGAGAAGCGGAGTTTGCCAGGCCAGAGACTGGTGGTCTGGCTTCACTTCCTGAGCTGGATGAATTCAAATGAATGAAACGCCTATGGAGGCAAAAAAAAAAAGTGTATTCACAGTTTTTTAACCCTTTGTTTTTGATAAAATTTGGAAATAATAAGAGCTTGGAAATAATATAAAATATGAAGCAAAGGTTTCTTTTTTAAACCACTCGTAATGTTTTCTGCAGAAAAGCTCTTTGCAGCACAAGTCCGTGCTCGTTCAGCTGCAGCCATAGCATTTCAGCAACGTTTTCTGTGTGCGATTTTATTCTCACATTCCCTTTTGGAACCTCGATACTCCTAATTCTTTCAGCTGCCTGGAATCAGTCTTTCCCAGGAGTGCACTGGGCAGGGGCAGGACGTCCTTGCTGACCCAAAGGACACTCTTGGAATTAATTCAGTGCTCGAGGCTGGTTTTGTGCTCTGGGGTTGTTGTGAGTCATGTGTAAATGGATTTTTCTCTGCTTCTTGAGCACCACGCAGAGGAACGGCCAGCATGCTGGCTGGCTGAGTCTTGTAGCCTCCTGCTCCTGAAGAAATTAATCCCGCTGGCACACGTTTAGATTAGACATTAGGAAAAAGCTCTTTATGATGAGGGTAGTGAGACCCTGGCATAGGTTGCCCGGAGCAGCTGTGGCAGCCCCTCCCTGGCAGTGCCCAAGGCCAGGTTGGACGGGGCTTGGAGCAGCCTGGGATGGTGGGAGGTGTCCCTGCCCAGGGCAGGGGGTTGGAACGAGATGGGCTTGAAGGTCCCTTCCAACCCAAACCACTCTGTGAAATCCCCAGGAGTGTATGTGTGAGGCCTTCATGGAATCATGGAATGGCTTAGGTTGGAAGGGACCTTAGAGGTCATCTAATCCAACCTCCCTAATCCTTCCGAGATACATGTATGGGAGAGGAGGTGTCGCCACCTCGGGAAGCTTCATTAGGTGCTGGTTTCACTCGGTCATGTTTGGTAAAGTCACGCCCGCCCCGTAGCAGCAGGAACGAGTTTGCAGTTCCCTGCCAGGCAGGTCGCTGGGAGCAGGTCAGAGATCACCTGTCCTACGTGTCCCCTAAACGGGGAAGGGGCGGGCAGAGCTCCATGAAGTGTTTCCTAACATCACCAACTCCGCACGTAAATGTCATTTTACTGTTTTTTGGAGGGAAGCAGTGTTTAGTTTATTTTTGTGTGCCAGTGTGACCATTCAATGCACCATCTCCTTGTCCTGAAGAACTCCAGTGTTCTGTTCATGGTTGGGAGGCTCCTGGGGGATGCGGGAGGTGCTGCTTGGCTCTGCCTTCTGCTTTGTAGAAGAGAAAGGAGTTCCCAGGTCTTAACGAGCGTGGGACGCAGTGCATCCAGCAGAGGGCTGGTCCTTGCTTCTCTGAGAACACTATCGTGGTTGATGATGTTACACTGATACTGTCTCTTTCAGGGAAAAGGAATGAAAAAGGAGTAAGTTCCAAAAGCAAAGGCAAGTCTGCTGGAAAGAAGGCCAGGCACTTCGTGTCAGATGATGAGGAAAGTGATGATGTAATGCGTAGTACGAAAATTAAACCACAGCTCTCCATTATGCTGACTCCATTAAACCCTGGAGTACAGAGCAAAACCAGCAGAATCCCAGGAATGACACAGGAAAAGAGAGAACTGCCACTGTACCAGTACTCCTTACGGTCAGCCAAACAGCTTCTTCCAGACAAGTGTCTAAAGCAAGGATTGTCAAGTAAAGAAGAGGAAGAGGAATCCAGCAGAGATAGCCCGCTGTCCATCAAAAGGAAAAAGAAACCTTTATCAAGGCAAAAGATTCAAAATTTGAAATCTTCCTCGAGCCGTAAATGTTTCCAGGATGATGCAAACAAGGTGTCGTGTGAGCAAGGGGCAACAGGACGCTCGGCCGCCACCCACGCTGCACCACTGAGGCCAGGTGTGCCGCAACCCATCGGCCCTTCCGATTTACCTGGAGGAAAAACACCCTCTAGTGAGTCCAGCCCTGCCCAGCTGCCTGCCAAGGCACGGAGGACGAGAGGCAGAACCAACCTTCCGATGTATTTGCTCGACTCTTGCACCGAACCCGAAACCAGTGAAGCGGAATTTCAGATCAAAGAAAAGAAAGCAAAATTACCTGCCAGGAAACCCAATTGTGAGGTTTCTAATACTGCCAAGTCTTCGGCAGCAAAATTGAGAGAACTTGAGAGGGAAAAGGTGCAGAAATCTCTGGAGCTTTTTCCAAGGCCAACCTTCCGATGTATTTGCTCGACTCTTGCACCGAACCCGAAACCAGTGAAGCGGAATTTCAGATCAAAGAAAAGAAAGCAAAATTACCTGCCAGGAAACCCAATTGTGAGGTTTCTAATACTGCCAAGTCTTCGGCAGCAAAATTGAGAGAACTTGAGAGGGAAAAGGTGCAGAAATCTCTGGAGCTTTTTCCAAGGGCAGCCGATGGCTGGTCTGAAAAGGAATTGCAGAAGCTCTACAGGCAAGTGGCTGCCCTGTCTCGCCAGGGCAAAGCAAAAAACTGGGGAGGGGTGAGCTACGGGGGGGGTCGGGTGGTCTGGAGCCACGGCCTTCAGATTCAGTCTCCTTCATGTCATTGTAAACATTTCCCTTGTATTCTGATTCCCTCTTGAAAATGAAGCTTGCTAACAAAACACAAAAAATGGTTAAATAACGGGGAGACACTTCAGAAAGGGAGGTTTTATAAATGTGAGCCTAGGGCAGCCCCTGCTCCCGTCACCAGTGTCGAGAGGAATTACAGGTATTAGGCAACGTTTTGTGAATCTATTCCTGTTTTTTCGAAAACTAAAAAGTGGTAAATGAGTAAAATTGAGTAGGCCTACAGGTCAAAATATTCATATTTACAAATTATTAAGTCAGATATATACGTAAGTACAGATATATTCAGATATATGTTCTCTCCCCTAATAGAGTAAAACATTTAACATGACATGCGTACATCCTGATGTTTTGTAAAGGAGGCCTTAACTGCAAGAATGTTTAATAAGCACGTTGTCCAATTACATCAGCAAACGACTGGGCGGTGTTTAATGCATACATTAAGTAACAAAAGAACCGTGTCTGGGTTTGTTTCTTTTAGATGAGAAATTGGAAAGGGCACGGGCTCATGTCTTGGGCGGCGGGGGGTGGAACTGGCTACTGATAAGAAGCTTATCTTGTACCGGAGCTCTCGGCTTCGATGGTTTAAATGAAGGAGAGTGTTGTGAAGCGCTGCGGGTGCCGGGCCCGGCGTCGTGATGGCAGCTCTGGTGTCATTCTCTCGGCAGGGCCGTGGCGTCGCTGCCGAAGCAAAGGAATGGCTTCTGGGTGGAGGTGGCCATGGCCGTGGGCTCGCGCTCGGCAGAGGAATGCCAGCAGAAGTACACGGAGGAACAGCAGGCGAAAGGCTCCAAAGCACCCACCAAGGCGACCGCCCCTTCGGGAAAACCCAAGCCTGCCAACTTGACTCTGGGTGTTTTGTTGTCTTTGAATCATTTTAAACAGTTTTTGTTACGTAGCGATTCCACAGAGACAAAACTGCATGCGAGGGTCTAGTAGCAAAGGAGGTTCTCTTCTGTAGTATAACCGTTGTTGCAGAGCTTGGAGGGTGCCAAGGATGACCAAAGTAATGAGAAAGGGTATTGTTAGTTTTCTAGTTCTTGGCATGATGGGAGAACTTAAACTGGTCTTGCCAGCTGTCCCTCAGGATAGCTCTTTGTGTCTTGGAGGCTCCTGGAGGTCTAATCAGTAACAAACTGCCTGTAGAGCTGTCTCTCCAGAGAGCATACGGGTGCTATATAAGCCTCTAGGGGGGAGCTTAAAATCTAGGTGGAAATTCTTTTTGAAAGTGTAAATTGTGTAAGAGCTCAGAGAGTCACCCCGAAGCAATAAGGCGTTTCCACAGAAGAAGGAGCGGACTCCCTAAGCATTGATTGCAGTTCGTAAATGATCAAACTGTGCTAAATCACCGATGGCTTAGAACAATTAATCTTTTGATTCCTGCAGGTAAGAAAGAGCCAGTGACAATCACTGCCAAAGTGGGAACCTTCAAAAGGAAGCAGCAGATGAGGGATTTCTTGGACCATTTGCCGAAGGACAACCATGACGATATTTTCACTGCGACGCCCTTTCAGAATCAAAGAGTCAAGGTAAGTCTGGGCAAGCGGCATGTATACATGTGCGCTTCTCCCGTTGGTATTTCAGGTGGGTGTTATGAGTCTGCTCCATAAATAAAATCCTGTGGATTTGGGGAGGAAGAGGCCTATTTCCCCGGTTTGTTACTGCAACCCTTGGAGTGCCAGCAGCGGGAACGTGCAGCCCGTGGCCTCTGCAGAGCAGTGCTCCTGCTGCATGGGGCTGCAAAACTAGCTTCACCTGGGCTGAAGCGCAATTACACTCTCTAGATGTTTGTTAAAATTCTGTTTGCGTTTGTAAAGACAAAGCCACTCGTTTATGGAGAGAACTATTTATTTCTTTCACCCCCTGCAAAGCGTTTTCCATGTATATGGGTTTTGAAGTATATATGGCACCAAGGCAGATATGGGGATGTCCTGCTGGAAAGCAGC